CCAAAGCTTCTGACATATAGGTATAAAAATGTGCCTCAATTAATATCAAAATCAACAAGCATCCCAGTAACTTTTCCTCAATAAACTTCAATAAACTGGACTTTGCCAAGTCACCTGATAAGAAAAACAATCTTCTCTACGGGCATTATTTTCAGAATCATCAGCAAGATAAGCCTGGGGTTAACTAATTCACTAATATATCCGGGAACCCCAATCACTTTCAATTTTATAGGTTTGCACACACACACACACACACAGAGAAAATCTATATTAGAAAGGTGGAGCATTTTAAAGAGAAGTATGTATTCATATGTAAATTTTTCACAATATTCTCTTTTTTTGCTCTGGTTTTTGCTATTGTTTTCTTTGTTTGCAGAGCTGGGAATTGAACCCAGGGTCACTTTACCACTGAGCTACATACCCAGTCCTTTCTTTTTTTTTTTTTTAATATATATATTTTTTTAGTTGTCAATGGACCTTTATTTTGCTCATTTATATGTGGTGCTGAGATCAAACCCAGTGCCTCACACATGCTAGGCAAGCACTCTACCACTGAGCTACAACCCCACACCCCCAGACCTTTTTTAATTTTTTTTTTTTTTAAGACAGGATGTTGCTAAATTGCTGAATCTGGTCTCAAACTTGCAATCCTCCTGACAGCCTCCTGAGTAGCTGGGATTACGGGTGTGTACCACCACAGCCACCTACAATATATTTTTATAATAAGATGGTGATTTACACACTTTAAAATTAAATGGAACTCTGTTTTTATTTATTAAAACACATTTAAGATTGGACAATATTCAATTATAATGTTTGTCTAAATACATATAACCAATTTCATATATACCACATACACACTACAAACTTATCAATATTGTTTAAAAAAAGGACTTCATACCCTAAGAACACAAGATACAGTTTCTAATACTATGCTACACTGATACTTCGTCACAAGACTGAAGAATACAAACTCATTTTTTCCTCTTCTAACATTTATAACCCAATACTACACAATAAAACTGAGAAGGTACAATTACTTTATAATAATGAATAATATATTTTTGGTGTTATATTCTATTTTCTGTCAACTAAATAAAATGTATTTTCATTTTGCTATCACATATCATTTGAGTATTTATCTTGTGAGTCAATGGTTCACAATGTGAGGATACATCAAAATCACCTTGAGGGCTTTCCTTTCCTTTCTTCCCTCTCCTACTTACCCCTTTTTTTCTTTTCTCTTGTGTTACTAGGGCTTGAACCCAGGGGCACTCTAACAATGAACTACATTCCCAGTCCTTTTTTTATTTTTTATTTTGAAACCAACTCTTGCTAAATTACCAAGACTGGCCTTGAACTTATGATCCTCCTGCCTCAGTCTCCCAAATAGCTGGGATTATAGGTCGGGATTACAAGCGTGCACCACTGGTCCACCTTACAGGGCTCTTTTGAACTACATCTCTAAAATTTTAACACTCTTTTCCCCTATATACACCACATCCACTGGGATCACTGTTATAGATAATGATCAAGTATGTTGCATCCCTAACATTACAGGAAAAAGGACAAGAAGCATGGAGAGAATGGTTCTTTGTTTCTTGGGGCTCAAGATCTGAGATTATAGGTCAGTGTTTATATAAAGCACTTGGCCTAGCATGTGCAAGAATGTGGATTCAAATCAACACTGCCAAAAAAAAAAAAAAAAATTTTTTTTTTTTTTTTTTGAGCTCAAAAGTGACACTACAGAAACATCACAATTCAGTGGCATATGAGCAAGAGATAAGTTTAAGAATTGAATGTACTAGCCAGGCATGGGAGGGCACACCTATAATCTTAGCTATTCAAGAAACTAAAGCAGGATAACAAGTTCAAGGTCGTACTCAGCAACTTAAGACCCTGTCTCAAAATCAAAAATAAAACATAAAGGGCTGGGGATGCATCTCAGTGGAAGACACCCCTGGATTCAATCCCAGCACCATTAAAAAAAAATAGATTAATTAGTATATACTAAATTCTAAAGATCATGAAAACACCTGAGAAGCTTGTTTAAAATACAAGTTCCAAACTCTGTTCTCAGAGGTTTTTATTTAGTTATTATTCAGTAAGATCTAGAAATCTAGGTTTTAAACAAATATAACTACTAATAGTGATGTATCTGAGCCAGCATTTAGGTAACCCTTCTACTTATGTTTAGAATCTATCACTGAAATCTATTTCAGTTCTTTTCTTCCTTTGCACAATCTTAAAGTCTTAATAAGTCAAACTCACAGAATTTTCTAAGAAAAATTTTTTTAAAGAACATGCTCTCACAGTTGGGGTTGTAGCTCAGCAGTAAAGTGTGGGTTTGATTCTCAGCACCACATATAAATAAACAAATATTAAAAAAAAAAGGTCTGCCAACAATTAAAAACAATTTTTTTAATGTACTCTTATTTTGTAAGGCCAGGTGTCTAACAGAAATATTTAAGAATATTAAAGCATTAAAATTTTAAGTAATGACAAATTTAATTACCAGTTAAAAAGTAAAAGAAAAATAGTTTGGGGTTATAACGTACCTGAGAAATAATTAAATTATAATATTTTTTTTTGGGGGGGGGAGTGGTGCCAGGGGTTGAACTCTGGGATACTGGATCATTGAGCCACATCTCTAGCCCTATTTTGCATTTTATTTAGAGACAGGGTCTCACTGAGTTGCTCAGTACCTCACAGTTACTGAAGCTGGCTTTGAAATCGTGATCCTCTTGCCTCAGCCTCCCAAGTCACTGGGATTACTAGCATGCACCACCGTGCCCAGAGTAAATGAGATTTTTAACCTACCATATTATCTAGTAAAAACACAATGGAAAAGTACACAGGCATGAGAAACGATTACATATATATTAAAGAGATTTAATATATAGGAGAAATGTCGTTGGCTAAAATAAGGTCACAGAATAACACTTGTAATATTCCACTCCTGCAAAATTTCTTATGTTTCTTTAACAAGAAACGTCAAAATATTTAGGGCAATAGTGAAGTTATTAGTAGATGGGAGGATATGGGGTAAATTTTACTTTCCGTTTTTCTGTATTCATCTTATGACCAAAAACCAAATCTGAAAAAGCAGGTCTGTAGCTTTAACATACAAAATTCAATTTACCTTGAGATCTTCCAGTACTCAAAACAGATCTGAATGCCTAAACTAAGCATGATTAGCAGAATAGTTAAGACAATCATGCCAGGTGAGGGGGCACATGCCTGTAATCCTTGGAGACTCAGAAAGCTGAGGCAAGAGGATCCTGAGTGTGAGAGCAGCCTGAGCAACTTAGCAAAACTCCGTCTCAAAATAAAAAATAAAAAGGGCTTGGTGGTAGGAACTCCTGTGATTCAATTCCTAGTACTGAAAAAAATAAAAAATAAAAGACACAGATCATTTCTAATTCTCTCTGTATTTCATGGAATCACTTAAGAAAAATGCAGAAATTTAGTTGTTTATTACTTTCTTTATAATTCTTATTAGCCTAACCCAAAAATAAGTTTAATAACAACAACGAGGTAGCTACTTTAAAATTCTCCTCTAAGCTGGGTGCAGTGCCACACACCTATAATTCCAGCATTTCAGGAGGTTGGAATCACAAGTTCAGCGACAGCCTCAGCAACTTAGCAAGTTCCTAAGGAACTCAGTGAGACTCTGTCTCTAAATAAAATATATTTTTTAGGGGTTGGGGTTGTGGCTCAGTGGTAGAGTGTTCACCTAGCACATGCGAGGCACTAAGTTCGATCCTCAGCACCATGTAAACATAAATAAATAAAATATTTAAAAATATATGTGTGTGTGTATATATATATATATTTTTTTCTTTTTTTAAAGGGCTGGGGATATGGCTCTGTGGTTAAGTGCCCCTAGGTTCAATCTCCAGTACCAAAAAAAAAGAAATTCTCTAAAGAAATGATAGTTTTTTTAAAGGGCAAGTAATCCAACCTCCAAAATTTAAGGTATGTTCTAAAAGTATTTTAAACAAAAAGTATTTTAAGATTTTAATTACCACAGGCTAAATATAATTTGCTCACATATTTGATTTCATGAGCTGTTGCACAGTATGACACAACTATAGCCAAACATCAACTATAACCTGAGATAGTTCAGAAAAGTAAATAAATTATTTTTTTCATACAGTGTCTAAGACAGCATTTGGCTCTTCTTTTTCTTTCTTTCTTTCTTTCTTTCTTTCTTTTTTTTTCCTTAATTTTGAGACAGGATCTCACCAAGTTGTGTAGGATCTCGCTAAATTACTAAAGCTGCTCTCAAACTTATAATCCTCCTGCCTCAGCCTCCCGGGCTGCTGGGATTACAGGTGTGAGCAACCACACCGGAAAGCACTTAGTTCTAAAACTGAAAAATTATGTGATTATAATGCCTACACATATTATTTTTATCAAAACAATCAATTGTACCAAGTTGCCTTTCCTCCACCTTAAATTTAGAAAAATCAAAGAATAACAAAAACAACATCAAAACCCTGAAGTAAAACTTACATGAATATCAACAAAAAGAAGTTACTCATTTTAAGTACCTAATTAAGATTTACATCATTAACTTTTTAAAAGTAATATCTGTAATTTAATAACATATTGGCTTACTTGTGATAGTTTTTAAGACTGATTTTTTTTTAAATTATGACCAATCTGACTGGTATATTTTACACTTAAATAATCAAAATAATTTTGGTAATGGATGTTAGAATGTGTGGCAATACTCTATTCTCACAGAATTGAAAATATATATACTTTAAAAAAATACAGTAAGTGAAAAAGAATTGAAGAAAAACAAGTAATAAGGGGGAAAAGCAGACATAAAAGCAAATCTGGAAAAGGCTGAGAAAGAAAAGACAGAAAATACTAAAATAGATAGGATAAAGAAAGATAAATGAACTAACAAGGGGAAAAAAAAAAGACTGGCTCATTTTATTCATATACATGAATTCAGCCAATAAAGACAGACAAGACATAAAACTCACCTGGTTTTCTTCCTGCACGACTCTATACTGTTCCTTCCAAATGGTGATTTTGGAAGCTTCATCTTTTCGAAGGGCTCGCTCTTTCTTCAACTCTGGGCTCCAGAAGGTCTTGATGCTATTCATTGAAGAACTCAATTTACTCTCCTTTACTTCCACATCCTTCCGCAAGAGATCATTTTCCCTTAACACTTCCTTTAGCTGTGTCTGCAGATCCATGATTGTATTATCTCTTGCCTGACGAAGAGAGTGAGGTACGGTGGATGCCATACTCACAGGAGGGAGGTGATGCTCTCCAAATGCTATGGTGTCACTAGCAACCCCACTGCTGGCTATGTTGGGACTACTGCCCATAGCAGTCATCCTAACACCATAAGGCAGACGTCCCCCAGAACGGCCAAGTGTCATGGTGCTTTTTGGTGTTTCTGAACCCACATTTTCATGGTCACTTAAGTACATAGGGCCAGATGTAGCATAGGCAGCATTTAAGGATTGTATATTCTCCATTGAAAGGGTTTTCCCACTGCCACCTCCAACACTGCTTCCAGAACTCCCTCCAGTACTATTGGTTCGACGATGACCTAAGCGAGGGGAACGGGGAAGCCTAGGTGAACGCCCAGGGCTCTGGTTGCTTGGTTCCACCTTCCCAACTGAGCGAGCACTTCCATACATGGTTGCAAGGTGAACTTAGGTGCCACAAAAGATGTAAAGCAGAAAACAAAAACGGAGAGATTTCTCTATGGCTATAAGTCAGCTTAAGGCTATCAGAAATATCAGGTCACCAGGTGTCCAATCTTGAATATCTTACGCCATATCTGTAATGAAAAGATCACACATTAAATCCTCTGATAATAAATATTTCCCTTCTCAGAAACTTCCCATTTCCCCTTCTATCATTTATGTACTCATGGATTCAAAATGTGATTACAGCACAATGTATTTCACAGTAAATGCCACTGTAAAAATGTTTTATGTGTCTCAAGACCATATACCATACAACTGAAAAAGAAAAAGAAGTTTAAGATTAACAAAGAAGAAATAAAGCTCTAAACTATACCTCAGAGCAATAGTAACAAAAACAGCATGGTACTGGCACCAAAACAGGCTGGTAGACCAATGGTACAAACAGAGGACACAGAGATTAACCCACAAAATTACAACTACCTTATATTAGACAAAGGTGCCAAAAGCATGCACTGGAGAAAGGATAGCATCTTCAACAAATGGTGCTGAGAAAACTAGAAATCCATTTGCAACATAATGAAATTGAACCCCTATCTCTCACCATGCACAAAAGTTAACTCAAAATGGATCAAGGATCTAGGAATTAAACCAGAGACTCTACATCTAATAGAAGAAAAAATAGGCCCTAATCTCCATCACGTGGGGCTAGGCCCCAATTTCCTTAATAAGACGCCTATGGCACAAGAATTAAAACCAAGAATCAACAAATGGGATGGATTCAAACTAAAAAGTTTTTTCTCAGCAAGAGAAATAATATGTGACGTCAATAGGGAGCCTATATCCTGGGAACACACATCAGATAGAGCGCTAATCTCTAGGATATATAAAGAGCTCAACAAGATAAGCACCAAAAAAAACAAATAATCCAATCAATAAATGGGCCAAGGACCTGAACAGACACTTCTCAGAAGAGGATATACAATCAATCAACAAATATACAAAAAATGCCCAGCATCTCTAGCAATCAGATGGCAGCCATGATGAAGATAAACAACAATAAGTGCTGGCAAGGATTGGGGGGGGCGCCGCGGGAGAGTTACACTCATACACTGCTGGTGGGACTGCAAATTGGTGTAGCCAATTTGGAAAGCAGTATGGAGATTCCTCGGAAAGCTTAGAATGGAACCACCATTTGACCCAGCTATTCCTCTTCTCATACTATACCCAAAGGACCTAAAAACAGCATATTTCAGAGACACAGCCACATCAATGTTTATAGCAGCACAATTCACAATAGCTAAACTGTGGAGCCAACCTAGATGTCCTTCAGTGGATGAATGGATAAAAAAAAATGTGGCATTTATACACAATGGAATATTACTCAGCACTAAAAAAATCATAAGATCATGGCATTTGCAGGTAAATGGATGACATTAGAGCAGATTATGCTAAGTGAAGTTAGCTAGTCCAAAAAAAACAAATACCAAATATCTTCTCTGATATAAGGGGGTAACTCAAAATGGGATAGAGAGGAAGAGCATGGGAAGAAAATTACCTCTAGATAGGAAAGAAGGGTGGGAGGAAAAGGAGGGAGAGGGGAATTGCATGGATGGTGGAAGGAGACCCTCATCGCTGTACAAAATACATGTAGGAAGATGTGAATTTAGTGTCAACATATCTTGACAGAGATATGATAAATTGTGGTATAAAGGTGTATTAAGAATTGTAATGCAAATAATAATAATAAGAGAGCTCATGTAAAATAAATAAATAATAATAAAAAATGAAAGAAAAAAGAAATAAAGCTCAATATTTGAACATGATTTTTCTTTTTAAAAAAATTAGATGTTGATGGACCTTTATTTTATTCATTTATTTATATGTGGTGCTGAGAATCAAATCCAGTGCCTCACACATGCTAGGCAACAACCCCAACCCTGAATATGATTTTCTAACAAAGAACACAAGCTTATCAACTGACATATTATCAGAACCAGTAACAGAACTCAACATACTGGTCAGGAACATGTTCAATTCATAAACATCAATACTTTTAGATATTAGCAACAACAATTAAAAAATGTAGTTTCAAACTTTAAAAAATTCCATTCACAATACCAACAAAACTGTAAAAATATTTTGATATAAATCCAACAAGATTTCAAGCATTTTTTTTTTTTTTGCAGGGGGTGGGGGGGAGTGTAGCAGTATTGAGGATTGAACTCAGGGGCACCTAACCACGGAGTCACATCCCCAGCCCTATTTTGTATTTTATTTAGAGACAAAGTCTCACTGAGTTGCTTAGTGCCTCACTTTGACTGAGGCTGCCTTTTAATTTGTGATCCTTCTGCCTTATCCTCCAGAGCCACTGGGATTACAGGTGTGTGCCACCATGTCCAGCTTCAAACATTTTTGAGAAAAAAAAAAAAAGACCATAAAACTACTGAATGACATGAAAAAGTACCTGAAAGAAAAGCTATTCATGTTCACAGACATGAAGACAAACCCCATAAAGCTGTTCTTCCCCAACTATTAAGCACAATCCCAATGAAAATCTCTAGAGAATTTTTCACATAATTCAAAAAAACAGAAGCTAAAATTCACATGGACGAGTAAAGATTCAAGAATAACCAAAATAATCATAAACATTTGGACAAAAAAGGAAGGTATATCCCCAAACAGCAAGAAAAATTACAGATTTATAATCCAAAAATCTTTTTAAGATATATTCTTCTATAAAGTTTTAATTAGAATTTTAAAAAAAGATAAATTCTTCTTTTTAACTCATTTAGAAGGAAAACCTGATCCACTCTGGTATGAGATTATATGTACTGTTTATACCACTTAATGTGTCTATCAAAGTAATGTGTGTGTTAACAGGATACTGCAAAATGCCCACTAAACATTATGGCAAAACATTCTGGGCAAGAGACACACATCTGATCACCAGGATTTCTCACAAAAAAATTATAAAAGCTATAGTAATTAAATTATAAAAGCTATTATAAAAGCTTTTATATTATTATAATAATGTTATATTATAATAATATATTTTAATGTTATAATAATATCTCATATTATTATAAAGCTATAGTAATTAAAATTATAGTTCTATCCAAGGACTAGAGTCTAAATTATAGGATTTAGATTTTAAATATGGGATTTTAATATTTACTAAACATAATATTTCAAAAAATGAAGAAAAGACAAATCATTCAATAAACAGGGTTTGAATAAGTGATATATTCGGAAAATAAACTGAACCCTACTCTGACAGTATAATGAAATAAATTCCATGCATATTAAATTTTTTTAGTCTGTGAAAAGTACTAGGAGAAAATTTAGGACAATATCCTTGTAAAGCTGAATTAGAATAAGGCTTTCTTAAGAACAAGAAAGTAAAAAACATAAATAACAACAATACGATTAATTATGTCAAAATGTTTCCTTCTTTCTAATTTTAGCTCTTTCACATTGAGTGTTTCCCATGTAGAAATTCTGTTTACAGATCTTACATGCATGTTGAAAATATTTTCACCTAGATATTCATCTCTTAATTTTTCTTATGGTATTTTATGAAATAACATTTCGTCACTTTTTCAGCAAATGGCTGAACTATGCTCCTCACCCCTAAGATTCATAAACTGAAGTCTTAAGCTTCAAACCTCAGAATGTTGACTATATTTACAGAGAGATGGTAATTTAAAAGGTAATTTAGGTTAAATGAAGTCATTGGGGTAGGCCCTAATCCAGTACAACTGGTATCCTTATAAAAAGAGACAGAACAGACCATGAGAAGACACCAGAGGAAAATGGCCATCTACAAGGCAATCAGAAGCCTCTGGAAGTAGTCAGCCATGCTGACACCTTGATCCCAGAATGAAAGACTCCAGAATGGTGAGAAAATAAATTGCAGTTAGCGTAAGCCACCCATTTTTCTTATGACAGCCCTACCAAACTAATATACCTCAACTTCTACACCAGAGAAATACAGAAATCAAAAGGAATTTTCTGGGTGTCCTCTTGTCATACATTCTTTTACATTAACACCCATCCTTAACTTGTTTTTTCCACTCTGATAAAAGAAGAGCTAGTCTTTCCATGGTACTGCAGGGCCTATGTGCTGAGCCTTCCTCAGAAACCTTATGTAACAATTGATTTTCCTTTATGATGTTTTTGTAACTTCTGTTTATAGTCTCCCATCTCTCAACTGCTTCACACTCTCCACTTGGTTTCTTTTATCACACTCTCCTTTTCTTGTCTTCCTCATTATTTGTTCATTCCTGCTTTAACTGTTTCTGATTTCCAGAATTACATCTTCATCTCTGTATTATTCTCACACTACAGTATCATCCTTAGGGGATCACTTCTCCCTACCCCTACCAGCTTTAAATATAAACTGTATAATGATGACTCCAAATTTACACTTCCAGTCCTAACCCCTTCATTTGACAATCAGAACCACATACCCCACTATCTGGGTATCTCCAATTGTACTTCTCATTAGCAACAGTACTCAGGATACATGGACAGAATAATTTTTGTATTATCCTCTTTAATACTGTTGCTCTAGTATCAAAGCATATTAAAAACACTATACTCAACTATTAAAACAAAAATGTGTCCAGAACTATTTCCTATAGAGTCTACATGTGCAGTAACAAAAATGCAACACATACTCTTCCAGTACATTTCACCGTAACAAGGGCTTTGTGAAATAATCAGTTCTCACTGTGTTCCTGAAAGTCACACATCCAAGGACTAGCAGGAAAAGCGTAGGCTCATTCAGCTTGACTATTTAAATGGACAGCTTTGGATGAATAAATGAAACTCTTAGACCCTCAGCATCTTCATCAATGAAATGGACATAAGATCTTTTTCCAAGAAGAGCTAAGAAGATCAAATCACTGAGTGAGTATAAAATACCTAGGGTTCTTAGTAGGTTTTCAGTAAGTGTTAGTCATTACAATTGTGTTTATTTTACACATATTTTCACACAAGTGGGAAAACTGAATGAAAAAGAGCAAACTACAGAATTTCTTGAAATAACAAGATTCCAGGAATAGACTATAGAATTATGGGACTGCTATACAAAGATACAAAGGCAATTCAGTGGAGAAAGTCAATCATG